AAAATCGGCTTTGATCATTCCAGCCCGGAAGAAGGTGAAAGAACCGAAACTTCAGCCACAATAATGATTTGGTAAAATCTCTGGGTATCGCCTATAGTCCCGTTAATCGTCGAGTGATGTGACTCGAGCGGGCGGCGGTAAATCTTCCATTTTTCCCTGCCGCGTGCAAGAGTAGCCCAGTTGGTTCTACTGATCCAGGGACTCGTTGAGCACCACACTTTTACTCTAGGCTCTTCGTGAAGAATCCTGGCCACCGGATCGGTGGTCTTCCTACAGTGCGTTTAACATCCCGAGGAATCCAATCACTAACGGCTCCTGTCCATCGGTTGTCATTCATACGTATTACGTGTCCGGCCCACCTTATCTTCGACTGTTTGGCGAACAGAACGGTAGCTTTGATTTTTGATCGTTGATGCAGGTCGGAGCTTCGGATCCCTTCCCTTACTTGTGTGACACGGAATACTCCTAGCATCGTAAAATCTCTGGGTAAGCTCATGAATACAGAAAAACATGTAGTACCATCTATCTCTCTGAACTATCCTATTTCTTGTATTGATATCACATTGTTCTACGTACACTGTTGTCCTCCAAAGAATTACGTCACTCCGCTTGAACTGCTTGGATGTGCGTTATTTCATGGCTCCTAGTGATCTGATGACATGCCTTTCGTACCTCATCATTTCCATTAACCAACATCCGCAATGGTCTTCCTCGATTGCTTGATAGTTGATTTTATAATATCATATAACTCTTTTATGATGCAAATGCTTCCTCAACGTCACGTGAATGGCAGTGGTACTGTATGACGCTTCTGGTTCTACTCTCCACATCGTCTTTGCAACTTATTCGTAGTTTGTGATCATCATAGACATAAAATTTCGAAACTAGGTCTTCTTCAGAATTGGATTGATCCTATTACATGGTCCACAGGTGGCCGCCCGCGTCATGTGGTTGTTCGTTGTCGCATTGAGTAGAACGCAGTAAAGTGAAGGAGCGATTGAATGAAGAATCCCACTTGGTATAGCCCTTTTGTATAAGACGGATAATCTATTGCCGCCTGATCTGCTTTACTGGCGGCAATGCGTCCTGGAAAAGTAGGTGTCACATAGCGTATCTGGCTCCGAAGAAAACGTGGACGTCGAAACGTTAGTGGGATAAGTTTTTTAAACCATCATTGGATCAACTCAACAATCAAAGAAAATATTGACCATTTATATCCAGGTTAGATAAAATCTGGTTTTAGAGAGGTAATTCCGAAACTGTTACAAGATCCGCCCACATGCAAACAGTGTATACAACTGTTACCCACCTGTGAATCCATTCCTTCTAGCAACTTCTTACGCCTTCACTGGTTTCTTTTATGCTCGATTGATCTATATTTGCGTGATATGTTATCCTTTCTTGATCCTTCTTATTTAATCCATCGTAGAGAGTATTCTGTTCTGTGTGAAATACAACCACAGGGGAAAAAAGAATAATCAGCAAATGAAAGTTATGACAATGCGATTTCAACTACAGCTCCAGCTTAACTGAGTCCAATCCCGATTTGTGCTCCTTTGCTCTTATTGATGGGTGATCGATGATAGATCCGTTTGGGTAAAAAACTGGTAGAGGCACAGGCAAACCAAGAATCTCAGTTAGTGCAGTGGATCACATGTGAGTCACTGAGAGGGTAACCACGGGTTCAAATCGCAAATAAGCTTCCGAGTTTGGTGCATAACTCAGCACACTTGTCATTATATTTCACATAATACCCTGCAATGAAAAGAAGAATTGACAGTAAATAGAAATTGGGACATCATCCTGTTCTATTTTCAGAGCAAATTTCTACATTTGTATGCCACGTCTGCCCATGGATTTCGTCATCGTCTTATTGTTTATACGTATGTATGTTTGAAGACTCAATCATGGAAATATGAGCTTCGAACGGCGGTATTAGTAAAACGACACATGCCGAGTTAGTAGAAGACGAGTATCCATCGCTGAACAAACGATTTCATCACCGACTTATTGCAATCTTTAGATTCTGTTGTTCAGAAACAATAGATAACCACGACGCACATACTGCTACAAAACCGATATCCAAAATATGTACGAAAATCCAAGACAGAGATCTAGGTCAGGTTTTTAGAATTCCAAAATAACCCTTAATTTTAGCAGATTATTAAGCTAAACTTCCCAACAGTTTGCCGCCTCATCGTGGCTTGGAGGTGTTCCTGGATGTCGGGCTGCGATGTAGCGATGTACTTCTAGAGGTTCATCTCTTCAGTAGGGCCTCACAAGCTGAGAAGTCCGACGTTTTCATTCGAAATCTACGCCCATCTAAGAGTAAACCATTCCCAGGAATCGCAGCCGCCCTAGTATCAAACTAGTCGCATGGTGGCAAATCTTCCTCTGACCCACAAAGGTGGTGACAGTGGTGACAACCTGAGGAAGGCTTCGGCTAGGCTGAGTTTGAGACTCCAGGGAACCACAATGACTGAGCTAGCGAGAATTCCGCCTTAGATAACGAAACCATTGTCATTCGTAGAGGGAAATTTCCGCTATGAAATTTCAGAGGTATTGGCTTTGTCGTATACCCATATATTTCTAATCTAGTCACCTAATACGAAATCCTATCACTGCTCTTGGCTATTCTTCGTCTCCAACTTGCGCGTCAGAAAGTAAAGTATTAACAGCCGTCACCAAATTCTATAACTGATGAGAGCAACAACGAAAATAAACATCGGAGAGGAGAATTCGGAATAGAACGACGAAATCGGAAGGGGAACCGTCTCATAGAACTCCTGTCCGCAGCATGTCTCTTCCATGACAATTTACTTTTCGAAAAGATGATCGCCGATGCACTTGGGAATCTCCTAACGGCGCGACTTATGCACAGATCGATCATATTATCACAAACAGAAAATGGTACCTCTTTGACACCTCAGTGGTACCTAGATTCCGCACTGGATCTCATCACCGCCTGTGTGAAAATGTGAAAATTCGATTTAGCCATAAGCCGGAAGAAATCTGTCATTGTCCAAGAAAAAGAAAACAAGTCGTCTGTGATAAGGATACTCTCAATAGAGTCCTCTCGTAATATGACCGGCAAGTGAAGGAATACTCGATCGAGGTCTACAAGTTGCTTGTCGAAGGACTTGAAACTTTTGGCCAACTCGCCTCAGTTCGTAAAACAAGAAATTCGGACGGTGTCACTTTTAGTACTAAGAAATTGCACGAAAAGAGAAGGAAAATGAAGCTTTGCCCTGCTGCTACACACCTGGCGCGGCCTATAATAAATGGCAGGTATAGAAGATCTTTGTAGGAAGACTTACATCGGTGCAAGCAGAAAACGTTATTGGAAGGAGATCAAAAACGATCCAGTATGAAAAGTTCCGCCGGGATCCTTGCTACTATGCTCCGCTATCCGTTCTGATGAACGAAGATGGTACTACCACTACATCCCGCAATAATATGGAATTCATAACGGAAAGCTTCTATACAAAACTGTTCCGCTCCACAGTCCCCGTCTTGGACATCGAAATCCCCAGTGGTGGAAAACTGCCCGGGATTCTATTCTACGAGGTTCGAGTTGCGATGGAAAACACGAAGAGAGGCACAGCTCCGGATCTTTATAATACCACCGCCGATTTTGTTATAACTGGTACCCACAAATTACATATACTTTTCGCGACCTAAATGACATTTCACCTTCAGAAAGATAAAATTTTAGACCAGCGAAGGACTTCCCGCACGGTCGTACTGCGCATAAGTTGGACGAAGATATAATTCATGAACAACCCATGGTGCGAAAGTGAACATATTAAACTGGATGGTTCTTTGATTACAGAAACCATCTGATGCGTGTGCCATGGACGTTCAATGAACATGGAGACATTACGAAGGAATTAGACAGAAGAAGGAGAGCAGCATTGGCCGCATTCGAGCTACTCAAAGAAGCTATCAGCGAATTGACAGACCCAAAATCCGCGTTCACGTTTTTAATTTAGCAGTTGTCCTGGTGCTCTGTAAGGCAGCAGAAACGTTGGCTAGTACTCCAACCACGTCAAGAACCCTGCGCCTCGGCCAAATAGTGCCTGAACAATGTCTTTGCAAACATCTCAGCAAGCTATATTTCGCAACATACCATGCCATTAAAAGAAAAAGGCAGTAAGTAAAAGGGTTAAGATAATAAGAACAAATGACAGACAGACGAAAAGAACACCGGAGTGAACTTCAAGGGAATGCAGGCGATCTTTGAAGATCACGAAAACAGTGAGCAGATTCGTTGATTGCTAACGTCAACCATCTGCACTCGTAGATGGCAACGATTTCACGACTACGAGGTGGTCATCGCGGATGTCACCATGTTGGAAGAAGGCCACCAACGATTGCGCAAGAGAGAAAAGAATGGGAATTCCACTGGGGCCCGCACAACAAATGATGACAGGCCATCCAAGTATCCAAGTGTTAAGTTAACACAACGTTGGCATAAAGTTTTATTCCGCTGACGTTTCGATAGGGTTGTCACCATTCAAATAAGGTATGCCCGTTATTGATGCCGAGGTTAAATTGAAGTCAATTTTTAAAAGTGTTAAGTAGTAATTCATTACTGTCACTGATGTTGGATTACGACTTGGTTGAGGTTAACGAGGTGTTATTACGAAATCACTTCTAAACCCTTTAAAGTTAATTATTACCTAAAATATCGATAAGTGGAAAGAAGTGGTAAATCAGCTTTCACATATTCCCCATAGGAATCAAAACCACATCCATTTTATTTACCTCTAAATTTAATTCCCGTGTTACGGACGTTGCTTTATTATTACCAAGAGACCGTTACTTCAAAATTTCACCATCACCACAGTCTCAATACATATATTCTACATCGATCACTAATGTAACACATATTTATTACAAAGAAAACTATACATTAAATAACTGAGTACTGCTGATAATCTCGATACGAGATCACAGCAGAATTCTTTTTTCTAAAAAGATCCTATAGTTCTTGCTAGCTACAGCCTCCACCACGACATTGCAGCGCGGGTTTGTGGATAACTCATGTACGCTTCGGTAAGACCTGTAACACTATTTTACTGTTACAATGGTACTGCTCTTAGAGGTGTAGCACTACTATTCAAATACTATAAATCCGATAGGCACTGTACCACTATCTACCAAATCAGAAGAACAATGACGAGTTTCCCCGCTCTTCTAGTAAACCTTATCAAGATTATTATTTGGTAAAAATTACTTACCGACACCAACATTCGCTGTATCTCTATCGTATACTTGGTTGAAAACGACTTCCTTCAATCTATTACGATCAATCCGTGAAATTTCCTCCTCGATATCAGCCAGCGATCTCACATTTCCAGTATAAAGAAGCTGCAAAAAACCCACAGCATGCTCTTGTTGAAACAAACGAACTTAACACAAGTTAACATTACCTCTAAAGCATTGTGCTCCGCCTTCTCGGAATTTGTTTCAAGACTACCATATAAAGCCGTTCTTAGTTGGTTCCGCGCTAGCGTGGTCTCCTCTTCTGACACAGCTCCAGCAAGATGCTTAAAAATATGCGCAAGGAACAAATATGCAGGATAAAGAAAAATTATATGTACCTATGTGCCGGACAAACACAGCTGTATGCAGCTACTATTTACGTTTTATTTTAAACGGCCCACCTTCGCATCTACTGTGCGAATTCGAGCATTTCATTCATTCCACTCGCTTCCTTTCATTTATTATCCACAAAGGTCTTTGAACTTTTCACATATGGGTTTGACTGATGTTTGAGAGCTGTTCTCTTCCTTATGAATGTTACTGAATGTTCATCAAATCAATTCTCGCTATCCAAAAGCCGATCTTGGGAGAGCCGCAATAGAGCATTCCTGCGTGGATTTGAGCGGTGATTTCGGTCTAGACAAATCTAGTGCAATTTCCCGCCAACGGATGGATGAAGGGACTGGTGCGCCCATGGAGAGGGTGGAACAGCACCGTGTTGGCGATGAGTAGCAACACCACCAATGCACTTTAAGAAATCAGATCGGTGTTTCATTTTGTAATGTCTTTTCCGCACCTATGGAGCAGGCTTGCACCTTGTTCATGAGAAGGTTCTAACTCTAATGGCTCTTGCTAAACACTTAAAGTAAAGCGTGAGCTGGCTTCTACTTACATGAGGCGAAAATGACAGCTAGTTTCAACGTCAACAATGGATTTCATAATTGTTTACGGTTGCCGGCTTTGCGTAAGGAACTTTAAGAATTCAAATTGTTGTTTCATTTTTTTGAATTCCTACTCTAAACAACTTCGAAAATGGGAATTTCTGAAAAGTTGTACTTACTCTTAAATATATAAAGAAAAATCTCTCTTTCAAATCTATAAAGTCCTCAACTGCTCAAATACAGTAGTTATCGAAGAACGAATTTCGGACTTTAAATGCACTTGAAGCACATCTTGTGATGGTCCAGACAACGAGTTGTGGTCACCCTTAGCTCAGAGGACAACCAATAAACAGATATGCTTGCGATGACGTAAGCTCTGTAGGAGTCATGTGATGGGAAAACAATGAACCCTTTCAATTTTAAACAACCTCAGTTCATAATGAATTTTACTACTTTTAATAAAACTACTAAAGCTTGGAAATCTTTCGTACAATACACATCCAATTTTTCTACCATGATGAAAATTTGATTCTCTAGATCTTGCGAAATCTACGCGTCTCGTTTCTCTTCGGACGGGAGTCGATAGGTCGGGAGTTACAGTGTCCTCTAACACTTGTTTGAAGAATCACAGGATATGGTGCCACCATGGGAATCTGTCGCCGAGCAGCCAGCCTTTGTCCACTAGGCTGGAGGAAGTGAACGTTTGCGGTGATTATCATCGAATACCTTAGCTCAAAATCCCAGTGGAAACCACGCTTAACTAGAGGCGAACAATGTTGTCTCGTTATCACAGATTTCGAAACAAGGCGCGTTTTATTTCATCACCGTGATGAAATCTATGCAAATTTTTGCAGTTCTGCGAGAATAAACAGTGGAAAAAATGATTCATGTATGATTCAGACTGTAGAAAATGCCACCCACCCGTTTGTTTTATACGACTCATACCGTCTAGAATATATTCAGAAATGGCAATGAAACATTGGCAAGGAAGTCAACACATTTGATATTCAATAGAGATTTTCCTCAACAGTTACATACCTTCCACTCATGCTGAATGGCGCGCATGATAGTGTGTGAGTTGTCAAGATGATCACCGTCACTAACAAAATACACACCAAAGAGACCAGTATCTCTGAAAGGCAACATAATTCAATTTCCACTTTCTCCAGCCAATGTAATACAGCACGAAAACATCCCACTTGTAATGCAGATTAAAGTGCTCTAGATAGTGCAATCCGTAGTTGTGAGAAATCTTTTGGATCCAGCGAGAAGGAGCAGTGAGCGTAGTAGCATGAGTGACATCCCACTGACCTATAAAAGACTATGATTACTGTGGCGTAGGTCTTTTTATTTCTTTTTCTAATAAATAATAACAAACCGTTCCCAAACTACAAACAGATTACAAGTGTAGAAAGCTAAGAATTAAAAGATAAAAAGGATGAAGCTCTTGGTGTTGATCTATCCCTGAAGGATGCCCCATGCATCCGACTTCTTTAAGCATCATTAGAAGCGATTGGGCCTCTACAATAACTTGCGGTGGCCCCTACCGATGTATTGAGCCAGTGCTGCTATTCTCCCAGACAAGTCTGGCACCAATTTGCCGACCCCGGAGAGATGGAGGACTTGGTGGGCCTGTGGTACGGAGTTCGACCTCAGGTGTATTCCAGGACGCCTCCGACCATTGCGCTACACGCGCCCTAGTAAAGAATTAAGGTGAAAAAGTATAAGAAATGTTCCCTTACACACCGATAAATTGGTTAGCCATTTGTAGTGCAAGAGCGTCCTTGTGGCCATAGCCAACCCCCTGAAAAACCTTCTGATACAGTCCTATTCAACAATCTGATGCTATTTGTTGCGCATCTTGTCACTGATTGTAGTAATGTCATCTGTTTAAAAGAAAACGAACACTGAAATTTTTCCAACGATATAGCGAAAAACGAAGGATCACTCGTTAAGTTGATCCACATAGGACACTTAATAATACCATAAAAATGAAACGACTTTGATAATAAAAATATAAGTCAGCTCACTTCAACAGCTACAGCCGCGTACATATGTGGGATATAGTCGTTGCGATATCTGTACTCGGAACCGGTGAACCGAATACCTTTTGCCTAAAAACGTAAGTACGCTAAACGTAAACACCGGTAGTTAACATAAGTGATTCGTTACTCATACCTCAGGAACTTTTCTTGGATATTCGTTGCTAAGGTCATCGAAATATTTCTCAGCCAATCCCTGCATTTTCGAGCCCGAACAACCGCCACCAACAGCCGATAGAACCATGCGGACGGGTCGATAATTATCTTCTTGCCATTCTTTGAGGTGCTGTGCAGTGATTTCCTAAAACAGTATATGGTAGAACACGAAGGAGAGATGAATTAGATTTGGAAAATACTGAAAACCAACACTGAATCGATGAAGACATCAAAATCCACCAATCTAATGCAAAAACAAAAATGAAATGTTCTAGATGGGAAGCACTAACTCTGATTGATTTAGTAGTTCCCAAAGGGCTCCTTGCCATAGGTGTACCCTGAAAGTTTTAAATCACTAATTCAATATTAAAAGGTTTACGACCACCGTGTTTACCTGGAACGCAGCTTTATGAAGATTGTCCATGGTCATCTTCTGTAAATTATCCTCATATTCATCTAATTCAGAGAGTAAGACTTTTCGCTCCGCTTCTATTGCTGACGAATCCAACTTGGAATTTCGAAGAACGTCAGCGAGAATATCAACCACTGCAGAATAACCTCATTAGAAGTGCTACTTTTATGTAAAAATCACAACTAGGTCAATTCGCAGCTCTTTTGATAGCCATAAAAAAGGGTGTGCTTACTATAACGCATAATACTAAAAGTATTTCTTATATTTGAGGAATTTCGAATGTAACAATTTGACGTATACCTTGCTTATACAATAACCATACATACGGGATTGTACACTGTATATCGATTTGGTCATAAGCAGTATGACTTAAGTGACTTGGAAGCAAACGAGATGTTTGGGATTGCCTTACATAAACATCCAAGCCCAACTTGAGAAAACATACGGATGCGCCCACCTGCCACAGTAAATATTACCGAGCCACCTGTTGCAATTTTCTCATAAAAAGTTGTAAAGTTAAAAGGGATTCTACGGAATGTTACTAATCGTCCAACTCAAGCGCGTGGAACCCCTTTCTCAGCTTTCAAGTGTTGCAACGAATGGAAATTTTGTTGCCACCACCTGAGTAACTCAAAGAAAATGCTACAGGTTCCTACTTTGAACCAACAATGGAATCTATACATATGCATATACATATGATTGTATATGCATGTATATACACATCCCAAAAGAGTAAATGAAAAATCCTCCGCGAGGATTGTCCGTCTACCTCAGTGATGACACAGAAACGAAGTTTCTCTAACGGAAACAAATGTTTATGGAAAACACAAGAACGATATAGAAAATTATCTTATACCTTTGTCCACATCTTGAGAAGAAGACTGTATGTACACGGCAGTGCGATCGCGACTAGTATAGGACTTCAATCTGGCACCGATTTTCTCAAGTTCGCTTTCAAGAGCAGAGGAAGTTCGTTTTTCTGTTCCCTATATGGAAAAGATATACTGTGAATCAGAAATGTAATCGCTATCCTAAAAAAGGTGAAAAAAGAACAAGACAGTAAAGAAGAAAGAGAAATGACCCTCCTATACCTTATGCATTAATCGCTCTAGAAAATGAGCGACACCATTATTTGTCTCAGTCTCATAGCGAGATCCGGTTTCGATCCAAACTCCAACCTAAGATGATTACAATAAAAACATTCCGGTTAAAAACCAGGTTCGATACTATAAGGTGAAAAATAAGGTGTACCGTTGCTGTAGGTCTTCCATTTTCTTCGGCAACCACACGAAAACCATTCTTCAGAGTGCTCACCTCGACGGTTGGTTGATTTGCAAGCACCTCTTTCACTGATAGCGAGGCCACATTCCTCATCTAGAAATCTATACGACACTATTAATGGATAACACCATCGCTTTAAAAGAATAATCATCATTTACTAAATATGCCCTTGAAAATCTTAGATTATGGAGAAAGCAACTTAGAATTATCGACTTTGTTCCGTGGCTTAGGATGATCTACACGTTCACAACCATTTGAAGAAGAAGCGAAAGAACAACAATTAAACGGCAAGATAGTAGGATACGCTGTGACCACTTGTCTAACAGATCATGAAGATAGAAGACTACCAAGGAAATTAGACTTCTTCACGTCTAATATTCGAGGTTCGCTAACGCAGCATTGTCGTCTACGTCTCACAGTCATACTTTATACCTGTTAACGATTTGAAAAGGTGAAAACTATAGCAAAAGACGTAACGGGCAATGAAAACGACGGTGGTAAACGGCACGAATACAGAATTTATACCGAAATCAAAGAACTTGCAATCAGATGAACAATAATTACCTTAACAACGGCATTTTGTAAGCGACCATAAACATCCAAGCATCTTGTCGAATAGAGTTAAAAGAGGAGCGTACAACGGTTTAGTTTAAAAAACAATATAAGGATAGCGTAATCAGTAAGTTCTTTGGGAGAATGCGATTGCACTGCTCTGTACTATCGCCACAGACAAGTAAAAGGCGAGATCCAAAAGTGAGAAGCATGCAATATAAACAAAACAACCAGTCCACAATGTTAACTTTTTATCTTGTTATTATTTTTCTCTGCAGCGTATGAAGTGAAATATTGAAATATAACTAGTTCAGTTGCTACTGCGAAAAAATAACTAGTTTTAACACAAGGCTACCACTTCAGAAGACTGCCTATTTCTAAGAAACGAGAGAAATGGGTTACACGGCTTGCAGGGATGACTGATGTAAATGATTTACATACTTTCAAATCGAACCTTTTGCCTTGAACGTAGTTCTCTAAACGATCAACATATTACTTCAGATAACGTATAATAACAGCATGCAAACAACAAATCTATCACAAAACTCGATAACAATCTAACAACAAGAAATATAACCCTTCGTATTTCGTTTATCACAGAAACAAATACCGCTCTTCTATGTCCTTTTCTAAGATAAAAGTTTTTGAATGATCCATAGCAACAACATAACAAGTACAAATCTACTCCACAAACTGCAACAGGAAATGTATGCTTTAAGAAGCCACCACACTTTTTCCGCTAATGCATTACCTGACCTGAACAATACGTTCTTCGAATGTGTATACACATATATATACATATATATATATGTATATATACATATACATATATATGTACCAAATGTGTACGCACATATACATATATATATGCATGTACATACACATATATGTATATGTATATATATACAATGAACACCTTCAACACTAAACTTTCCACGGCCGGGATACATGTAGAATCTCCTCGTCCTTACCCATAAGGTCTAGGTCTAGTTATTCCATCACGATGAAACTACAGCTTCAGTCCACCAATCTTGCCTTACCGTTTCCTTCTTACCACTTTTTTATTCTTCCAAGGCCGTATGTCAAACAGTGAGGCAATCGAACAAACAAAATTTCTACCACAAAACGATGACGATGCCGAATGCGTTACACTACTCCTGCATTTGTAGTGAAGACTCCCTTTGGGGTCAGCTTAGAATTGAGTCCGCAAACTATCAGAATAAAAGTAAGGTTTGAAAATGCGAGTACAATAATATGTTTTACGTATGACGATAGATAAATAGTAGTATTACGATATGACGATATTGTACAATAGCTCTGTAGCGCAGAGTATTCACAAATACATGCACATAAATGTGTATACATGTGTATATACACATGTATGCACATAAATATGTGTACACATGTGTATATACACATGTATATATACGATATGTACATATAAACATTCAAGCATACGCATATCAGTAATCTACGTATGCATATGAAGGTGTTCATACGTTTGAATATATTTACGCATTTGTATAAATGCATTCACATATATACATATATATATGCTACATGTATAAGTACTATTACTAGAGAAAGGGGTGGAAGCGTTTCCTATGAGACCGTTAAATCACCGAGTAATTTGTTTAGTTACTGCAGAAAAAAAGCCAGTTATCGAGAAACCAGCAGGCCCTTCAACGCAGCGTCGTAAACGCTAGTTGCTTGTGCTAGAAAATGCTAATAAAGTACCTGTGTGTTGATCACTCGCCGAAAAGAACAGCCGACAATGAACTTCAGTACCATATTTGTCGCGAGTTCTGAATAAAGTAGTAAAAACTTAGTCGATCAAATAAAGTTAGCATGGATAACCAACTGAAGCAAACATACACTCAAACGTAACCATCCAATGGCACAAATATGAGGAAACAAAACATAAGCAATCGCAATAGAGTTCGTCAACGGAAATATCAAAAGCGAACAGAAATTTCACTAGTGGAAACTGGTACCGTACCTGGAACTTCGTCTTAGGGCCGTATTTGCGCCCTTTAAAGGTCCAAACAATTTAAATCTGTTCCGCTTTCGTAATGGCAATAGCGAGTGTTTTGCTTAGAAGTTGAGTATTCAGGTGTTGTTGTCATTAATGTCCATGCAATTTTATTTGCGGTAGAACAGAAACTGGCAAATTATCGATTTTTTGGTTCCATTGTTGGACCTCTGTAATCAGGAGTTCTTAGACACTATGAACAGTTGTGCTGCAAAAGCTGCTCATATTTCATTTGTGCTTTGTTGTGTGTGCGTAAAATCTGGAGCGAATATAGTACTAGCAATATTAAAATAGTACTATTTACCTACTAATGGTGCGTGGTTCTTCGCTGACTTTTGTATGGTTACTAATTCGCACTCGCCCATTTAGCTGAAGCTGCCATCATAAACGAATTTGTGGTTTCTTTGTAAAGTTTTCGATAATGGAACCACTGGTCTGTCTATAGGGTCGTGAGGCTCTGATGTGTTTTTTATGAGATGGCCTGGTCCTACTCGTTTCCGAGAATGCAGCTAGTTCAACAGTATACAGTACTGTTATTGTGGTACATTAATATGTGCAACATCTACTGTTCTCTTGTTCTATTGGTCTGCACAGTGCTTCAGTACAGTTCACACAGTAGCCAAACTACAACTATTTTTTACTGCATAGCTTAAAAAGTTACAAGAAGCTTTTACGCGCCACTTTCGCCGACGCTCATTTATTTGGCGTAATTTTTCCTTCCGTATGGTGGAAGCTTCAATATATCGTGTGCTTTGTATGGATTGCAACTTTTTCTTGAGTGCTATTTGGAAATGAAGGGATTCTTTCTAGCATGTCTTCGCGGCATCGTATCGATCTCGATGATGATCGTAAAAGGGATCGTGATCGTGACAGGGACAGAGACCGAAGATCTCGCCGGTTAGTTCCAGTTGCTTGTTCTTTTTTATAAAGAAAAGTGGTATTACCACGATTAACCACAAGTAATGGAGTTCACTTGCAACTGTGTATAAGTCTTTATGCATCACTTCATATCATCTGCTGTTCCTTTAGATCTCCCTCCTTACCTGCTTACCTTTTACGGTTTCATCTCTAATATTTCCTTCTAGGTTTGATAGTTTTGAACAAATACTGGTTGAGTTCACGGATCTCCTTTGCCTTCAGAGTTCTCTAGCCGTGTTAGTCGCATGTTTACATGTTGTCTCCTTTATTAGCGGACAGAGATGGCCGAGTTCGAAAAACCAAATTAAAAACTATTGTAAACTGCTTTTTGTTCATTTCTTTAGATCGCTTTTGGAAACGTAGAATTACACACATTGTCTGTATATTTCCTATCTTCTTACGACATGTCTATGTAACCACCTTGGTGGTGTTGGGAAAACCTTAATGTTGAGAAGTTCGAAAGTCGTAACGATACGTCTTTATCCATAACCTCTCGATACAGTACGTAACGTTTACTCTCACGACAATCCGCCGACATGAGTAGACTTGTATTACCTATATGGGGTGTGCCTACATTCATAAGGAAAGCATAGAAGACCAGCTACGACTTTTATTCGTGCGCCTTCGACAGCCATATTCATCCATTTTGGTATAATACCAACAAGAGTGGTTATATTGTCTCAGTAGACTTATCAGCTGAATTCTGGCATGATGTATGACTAGATATCGTAGAACCATCATGTACATACACGACACGTGCTAGAGCAGACGTGAACATCTGAAGCACCAGACAACGGGTAGCCATCGGACTGTCTCGGGTTTTAACGCACTACCTGTCAGAATGCAAAGGAAATAAATGGAATTCAGTCAGAACTGTATTGTTACACTATATCGTTAGACCCACACTACTGTTGTCTGCACACAAAATAGGCTTTAGGGAGTCATGACGTCCCACCTCAGAGTATAATAACCCTAGTAAGGTTTTTTTTAGAAACTTGACAACCCTAATTTGACCATTCCCATCGATCCATCGAACGAAATTATTATTGACTTGCCGGCGGGGTGGGAATTCGGCAGGGTGACACATCTTTCCAAAATTGTTCCAAATTATTCCGAGGATGTCATTCTAAAAGTGGTATGCGGTAACATGGGAGTGAAGATCGTTGGCCACTAAAACTATTTTCATTTGGTGGTAATACCGTTCTCATAACATCAGACATTAGCCAAGGTAGAAGCATGCTGACAGGTTTGGACTGCGGTTATGAGAAAGTTGCCCTTCACTTGAATCTCAGCAAGAGGCTCAGCAAAAACGGATTCGTTCCTGACGCAGTTATCACATTCAATGTAACGAAAGTGTTCAACTGTTCCTTCTGTGAATATCGTGGTTGGAAATTCAGATTTTTTTGTTCTTTTCCCAAATTACGTAACAGATATACTTCGAGCATCGTAGCACTGTGAGTAGTCCATCTTCACAGCTGAGTAGCACGGGCCGAATGGTCCGGAGAACTTGCAAACTCTTCAAAGATTTAATGAAGAGGACAACGAACACCACCGTATGTGCACACATTTTCGACTGTCCGATTTTTTCTGGTTTAGAAAACCTGGGCGTTACATTAGCAGAAACAGTAATCACGCGTCGTTTTCAAGAGGTTGATGCTCGAAGTATAACTGTTACGTAATTTGGTTAGAAAAGGAAAAAATCAGAATCGTCGAAATGGATTTACAGTCTATGCTCAATAGTATCTACCATATGTGCGAAATGTGCGAATGATAGTTCATTTCAATGACAGTCACCTGCTATAAGCCATTAGCGTGTTGTTTTGGCTGCTGTTTGAGGAGCTCGTCTTCTGAATGAATGTCGTTGAATGCTGTCTATTTTCCGTGCAATCTTGGAAATAGTCGAGCTAAGGCGTTCCCATGTGGATTCTAGGAGGGCGTTCGGGAGGAGTCGAACCAGCACTAGCACATTGCTTTCTAATAGATGATCTTGTCTAAGTGTTAAAAAGATGTGCTCAACGCATCTTTACAAACATTGTTTGAAAGAGCAACTACTTTCAACGCTGCAGAAGAATGCAGAATAGTTTTTTCTCGTTATATGTCGAAGTAGTGGTTAGTTCTTAAGAGACTTTCATCATAGTTTCGAAGTAGTAGTTCAAAAAAGCTGAGTGTTTAACGTGAGTTTTCGCTGCAAGTTTTGACAGTGCTCGTGACTGTAGGCGTTGTTATTTAACTGGTTATGGTGGGGTTGAAGAGGGAAAAATAGAAGTCACTCTAGCTCAAGGTATGTATCTTATGCTAGTTATGCCGTAAGTTCTTTTGGCTGCTCTGGAGTTCTGTGACTCGTCCTATTTGCGTAAATTTTTTGCTACAGCGAACGTGTTGCACAGTGCCCATCTATGCGCACCTAACACGCTTTTTTGGCCACTTAAGAACATCACTCCCGGATTTATTAATTATTAGTATGCGAAATAAGAAAGGCGAAAGAAATGCAACAATTATTTGTTCTCATCTAGTTTGTGAAGGCATATTTACGTCAAGTCTCGCATAAATTCTTTAAATAGAGAGGAATATGGCAGCGTATTTGAACTAGATTCTTTATTTTCCCATGACCCAGTTTGTTTTTTAAGCTCTCGTTCGCGTTCTCCTGTTAAGAAAGAGCGTGATTCTTCGCCATCACCTCCAACTATCACACATAATAACAATGCGACCGCATCAGAGGCCAAGGTGGAGTAGTATTAATATAAAGTTCTTTCCGAGAAATCGATGTTATTTGAGTACTGTTTAGGTCAAAATCAATCCGTACACAAGGTTGCCTTATAGTAAAAAATATTGGCAGATTTGGGAGAAACGTCGACAACTCCCTGTTTGGGAGTATAAAGAGAAGTTCATGGAGATCCTTCACAACAACCAATGTATGTTTAAATTTTTCACATCGTAGAAAAGTACCACATGCTTTGAGGTTTTACAGCAATCCTTTTACTCTGCTAAGTAGCTGCTGTGAGTAGACGCAAGAATTTATAGGCGTTAGAGGCTATGTATTTCTGTTTACAACTTAGATATTTTTTAAAGTAGAAGTGTGGTAGAGTCACTATCTAGCTAACATTAAAGAATGCATGAAGTTCTTCTATTTAAATTCCTTCTGTGTTTAGAAAGGTTACATTATGAGTTTCCGTTAAAATAGCAATACAATTAGGTATGACTCTTGTGGGAGAAACTGGTTCTGGAAAAACCACACAGATACCACAATGGTGTGTGGAGTATGTCCGTCAGAGAGCTGTTCCTGGTCAGCGGAGGCTGGTAGCCTGTACACAACCAAGAAGAGTTGCAGCTATGTCCGTAGCTGCACGTGTTGCAGATGAAATGGATGTACAGGTGAGACAAGTTGATTTTTATTGGTTATTTTCTGAGAGTAGTTGAGCACGTGGGTAAGATGGGTGGTTTATTTTTTATCGCCGAGAAAATCACGTATTATCGATTAGTTTTTTTCAAGTTGGGACAGGAAGTCGGATATTCTATTCGTTTCGAAGACTGCGTCAGTTCGCAAACTATACTGAAATATTGTACAGATGGTATGTTTTTGGTCTGTTCACGTATGTTACGGAAATGCATTAGATGGTTTTTTACCTTAAAATCGCCATAAATTGTATAGAATTACAAGTTAGTTTCGTCGTTGGGGGTGATCTATATTTAGTTTGAATATATTTTACAAAGAGTATTGTAGTTGTGTGGGAATAGTTTGATGCAGTGCTGTGATTCCGTTTTTTTTCAAGTTTTCAAGTTGCTTATTAATTCTTTGCAAAAACCATTGTTTTAGTCAACTGAGGGTCAAATAGTCTCATTCATTATCCGTTTTTCTTCAAAAAGCACGACGACCCAAGTTTTCCCACTACCACCTAAGGTCATCCTAATTTTCAAAATTTAAACTGATTCATGTATACACGGCTGATGTTCTTGGGCTGTACTTCTTGATGAATTGTTGATCTTCTTATGACCTTCATCTCAACGTTTGGGTTCTAATCACAGTCTACGTTGAAGGTTGGTACTATTTGTCAAACCGTTAGGTGATCTTAATTTTTAAGGTATGTTGTTACGTGAGGCGATGAATTGCCCATTATTGGATGGATATGGTGTCATAATTCTTGACGAGGCTCATGAAAGGACATTAGCCACTGATATTTTAATGGGTTTAATAAAGGCAAGCTTTGTCTCAGTTGTTTGCAATAGAACTTATCTTTGTATACCAGAATATATCATGTTTTCAGTGATTGAAGTTTATGCTTGATTTTAAAGAACTGCAAAATATTATTGGTATTTTCGATATTTTCACCATTACATTGTAATATATTTATAGGAGATTGTTAAACAACGTGCAGACATAAAAATCGTCATCATGTCTGCTACACTTGATGCAGGGAAATTCCAAACTTATTTTGAAAATTGTCCGCTGATGTCTGTACCTGGGCGCACGTTTCCGGTGGAGATCTTCGTAAGTAGTTAGTCTCCAGTTTTGAATCGGTACAACAAAAAAGAGCCGTGGCACTGTTGGGAGATGGCCTGCATATTTCATTCGTCTCAGAAGTGTTTCTTAAGGTCTTTAAGCCCGCTGTGGTTTTTCTTAGTTTATTGTATACATTTGATGTTCTTGCACCCTGTAAACATGTCTTCTAAACCTCTTTTTCCTAACTTCAGTCCTGTTAGCTCCCGATACCTACCGAAATTGGTAGTTTTGATTGTTTTACATGCGTTTGAATCTGGTCATCTGGTCATATATTTGTTTATCTTTGCTCCATTGCTTAAGTGTCAAGCTTTCAGTTTACTCCGGAGCCAGAGAAAGATTATCTTGAGGCAGCGATTCGAACCGTTATACAAATCCACGTGTGTGAAGAGGTCGAGGGTGATATCCTGTTGTTTCTTACAGGGCAAGAAGTGGGTCTCTATAGTTTGTTGAATTAAGTGTTACAAAATTGAATATATGCGTAGAAAAATATGTGTGTTCATAGAGAAAGAACCGGAGAAGGTTTTATTGTTACGTTTAAATATTCACTTGGTTTTAGGAAATTGAAGAAGCTTGTAAACGGATAAAACGAGAGGTCGACAATCTTGGACCCCAAGTGGGAGCACTAACCTGTGTCCCACTGTATTCAACACTACCACCAAATCAACAGCAGCGAATTTTTGAACCAGCACCACCCAGTAAACCTGGTGCAATAGGTATTCCTTTGAAATACGTTTAGTGTGGATTATTTGTATGCGGTGTAGTTTTCGTTGTAATTTTTCTTGTTTATTAACAATTCAATTCTAATTTAGGCCGAAAGTGTGTCGTTTCAACAAACATTGCTGAGACATCGTTGACAATTGATGGTGTGGTCTTTGTGATCGATCCCGGGTTTTCTAAGCAAAAAGTGTACAATCCAAGAATTCGAGTCGAGTCTTTGTTGGTGTGTCCAATTTCTAAGGCGAGTGCTATGCAACGTGCAGGTCGAGCCGGTCGAACGAAACCTGGTTAGCGCTCTAATTCAAATAATTCACAAATCGATGGACTCCGTTGTTATTCGCCTCTTTAGCTAAAATTCTTTAGGAAAATGTTTTCGGTTGTATACCGAAAAGGCATACCAAGAAGAAATGCAGGAACAAACTTATCCAGAAATTTTGCGGTAAGTTTTTGAATCTTTTAACGTTACTGAGCAAATCTAATAGACTTTCTACTGTCACTCTAAGTTTAGAGAAGTATTATCACTGGTAGTTAGAGTTGTTTAGCGTGCTTATGTAGTTCAGGAATAAGTCACACTTTGTTTGATGGTATTCGTTGATGTTGGTCAAATATTTGAAATTCAACTCCATATTGCAGTGGTGTTCCCATGTCATTGTCGACTAAATGCAGAAATTCTAGGTCGAATTTGGGATCAGTAGTGCTTCAGCTGAAGAAGCTTGGAATTGAGGATCTCGTCCACTTCGACTTTATGGATCCTCCAGCACCAGAGACATTGATGAGAGCGTTGGAACTTCTAAATTATTTGGCCGCCATAAATGATGATGGTGAACTGACGGAGCTCGGGTCTCTTATGGCTGAATTTCCATTGGATCCTCAATTAGGTGTGTGTTGATGTAGTCAGTATCTAAGGCTTTTTTGCAAAAAAAAAAGTCTGGCAATCAAGTAGGTGTACTATGAGCAACGAGTTATTACATGGATTCATTTGATGCATTGCTAAACAGTTTGGAATTTACTTACATTCAAAATAAGATGCAGTGGCAAAACTAGTGAGATATGGTAGCCATATCACTTACGCGTTGCACTAAATGTGTTTGTAATAGTTTGCTTCCTCTAGTACTAGAGGGGCCTAGTCAAATTTACTACCATTGCATGCGATTTCAATTTACTAGTGAAAGTGCCAAGTATCGAAACGATAAGCTACTCTTAGGTAAAATAAAGGTGGTTACATAGCAAAATCCTAATCTCTTCGCTTAGAAATTTCGTTTTCGTTGGAAAATTATTTGTTCTTTTTAGCCAAGATGTTGATAACGTCTACGGAACTGAACTGTTCGAATGAAATATTGTCAATTACTGCTATGTTATCTGGTATGTTATTTCCATATTTGGGGATTAATTTCAGTGGTGATCTAGAAGTAGGGAAAGATCGTTGCGTATTCTACCGATTAAGATTGTTTTACAATTGAACTATACTGTATAATGGTGCTTACTCTCCACATAATGAGCGGCTTATTTTAGTTCCACAATGTTTTGTGCGTCCGAATGAGATGAAGAAAGAAGCAGATGAGGCCAAAGCACGGTTCGCTCATGTCGATGGCGATCACCTTACTTTGTTAAATGTGTATCATGCGTTCAAACAAAGTGTGTCTTTATGTTTAAGTTCAGCTGCGTTGTTCATTTCACTACTGTCCTCATTTTTTGGTAAATATACGATTCGGTATTGACAAAGTTAATTGCCTCGCCCCAGTATAATACTATACGATGACCTAGATGAAAAGTCATTCGGAGTTCGTACGTTTTCACATTCTGCCCTTATTTCGCTCCTAAGTATTATACTGCGGCGAGGCAATTAACCTTGTCAGTACCGAATAGTCATAGAGATCCTGGTTATATGTTTTATGATACAGTTTGTGCTTAACTTCAGATAACGAAGATGTGCAGTGGTGTTATGATAACTTCATTAACTATCGTACACTGAAGACAGCGGACACTGTGCGTATCCAGCTTGGAAAAATTATGGACAAGGTTGTTTATTAATTTGATTCATTTCCTGCTTAAGTACTTTAGCAATTAAGCAATTAAGACGAGTGGGTTAGAGGATATCGCAGCATTTATTTTTTAGTTCAACCTTCGACGCGTTTCTACAGATTTCAAGTCGAAAGATTACTATATAAACATTCGAAAAGCTCTAGTTGCCGGATTTTTCATGCAGGTACCACTTTGTAGTTTAACTACTTAGGTGAGTACAGCTAAAAGCTCTGATAATCCTAGGTTGCTCATCTTCAACGAAGCGGGCATTATGTTACTGTGAAAGATAACCAGCTTGTGAATCTTCACCCATCAACTGTACTTGACCATAAACCTGAATGGGCACTCTATAATGAATTTGTGCTGACGACAAAAAACTTTATCCGAACCGTCACGGATGTCCGACCGGAATGGTAGGTCCAAACAGTTATTTCTGCTCTTACCCACTTGAAATCTTTCACTTTTTGTTGCTATTGCACCTTCTTAGTTGTTAAAACGGATTTAGAGCCATTTCCGAATATTGGTTACAACGCATACTTGGAATGAGTCTCCCAAACCCAAGCATTGATATAACAGCTCATTTTTTACATGACTCAGCATCATATATCGCATTGTACGAATCCGAGCGCTTCTCGCATTCGATTCATTTTATCGCATCCACCGTAACGAAGGTGTTTCAAATTTTTTTCTGAAGCAGCTTGAGGATTGTGTTCTTTGTGAATGTCGTTAAATGCTGGTTGAGTCGATCCTCTCTGAAGTCCTGAGGTGGGAAAGCCACGGTGTTCCCACGTGAGCTAGAGAGAGTGAGACTGTGCAGACAAATCTAGTACCAATTTCCTGACCAGTAGAAGTGAGAGGATTGGTGAGCCTGGGACGGGGTCAAACTTGCGCCTCGGTAGGTTTGGCCTTCCGCTTAATGAGCAGAATCACTACCAGTGCGCTGACCGCTCCTTCCATCCCATCTCAGGTCATAGTGAATTTATCTCTTGAAATAAAAATCAGGAGATTCTACAGAGTGCTTGTTAGATAGAGTACTTGTTATACTACTTAGATATACAATTGTATTTCTGGAAACTACAAAAAGTTTTTCTTGAACAGGCAAGATTTCACCCGTTCAGAAGTCTGAATGGATCGTTGACTGTAGTTTATTTTATGTTAAAATTTCCAAACATTTCTTCCTAATCTTTTGGAGGTATATATTTCGACCAATAGTAAAATTTGAAGATCATTGATGCGTGCAGTAATTATGCGGAAAACTGTAGTCGTTTTAGTAATCAATCAAATTATCCCAAAATTATGTGAGATATAACCACAATGATGCTGAAATTTTTGCAAAACTCAGACCCCAATGCAGAATCAAACCCGCGATTATTAAGCGGTAAATAAAAAGCTATACTTTGTGATTCTCACTACAGCGTTAGCTTAACTGGTATCAGTGGCGATTTGAGCTTACCAGATCGTTCCCGTTAGTAGGTGATTACCAATCGCGCCGCTATGGTTAAAAGACTGGCTGAGAGAAAAGTAAAAAAGAGCAATTTAGTGGTGCACATAGGTTACACGTGAGCTCTGGAAAGAATTATCGTGGGTTCGAATCTGACCTGGGGTCTGAGTCTTGCAAATATCTCATCGTCGTTATGATTGTATTTCACATAATACCGTGACATGAAAAAATAATAAGCGGTAAACGAAAAGTTATACATCATTTCGAAATTGTTCTATTGTTTTCCAGTTATAAGATGTGTATAGTTGTCCTTGATATAGCAGTCGCCGATTCTTCATAATGGAACTGAGGATGGTTTAGCAAATTGTTTTCAGGTTGTTAACAATCGCTCCTCAATATTTCGATCTGTCGAATTTCCCAGATGGTGACACAAAACGGAAGTTGCAGTACGTTGGTAATTCATTACGTGCTCTTCAGAATAGTAAAGGTTACTGATAGGCCTGTACAGACGGTTTAACCTAATTTATTAAAACCATAGCCTGTATCTCAGCAATTTCTACTTTTGTTTTAGTCTATGTTCCAATTAGTGCTATCACATTACGACCACTCCTACTCATATATTCATATTTATAACGATCCATTCGTGAAATCGATTTTTAGTTTCCAATTTCAGTTGATTGTTTTCTCAATGGTGTATTGTACTTTTCCTTGTTGTATTGTTGCTAGCATCATGTTGCTATTTGTATTACTTTTATTTCCCTGTGACCTTTCTTTGTGCTGTATTATGTGTAGAATGGTTCTGTTATGGCTTGGCTCGTTAATCTCTTCATATTTTAATGAAGAGATCATTGGACGACGTTGATGGATTGTTTAAAAAATTTGCATGCATGATAAATATGACCATCGTTTCTTCTTTTTTCCTTTGTATATCTCAGTATTAAGCGAATCTGTGGCCATTCAGTAGGCAAGCAAGTCGGAATTCCTTTTTCTGAAAACGTTGGAACTGCTTAATAAGTGCTATGATTTCCTGAGTATACCTTTTAGGGTTGACATACTTGTAGCAATGCATACATTCAAACATATTAGCATCTAATAAAAGCTCTAAAGCTCTCGGCGTTAATCAATCCCTTAGAGATGTGTCATGCATTCTACTTCATTAAGTATCGTTGGAGGTGACTGAATGCATATCTGGCCTTTACAATGACTCACGGCGACCTACCGATGTATCGAGCCAGTGCTACTATCCTCCCAGACAAGTTTGGTATCAATTTGCCGACCCAGGAGGGATGGAGGGCTTAGTGGCCATGGGCGAGGGGATCGATCCCACGGGTTTCGCAGTGACGCCTCCAACCACTGCGCCACATCCGCCCTTTTTAGCATCTAATAAACTTTATTGATAGAACTAAAACGCACAGTCCTGGGACCTTTGCTCAGTACGCAAATTCTAGTCCAGTACGGTGGGATTTCTACTTTGATGCACTTGGATACTTGGATAGCCCGTCCTCACGGACTCTGCGAGCCCCAGCATAATTTCCACTTTTTCCGAGTTTTGCTAGTTTAACCATTGTGGTTCCCTGGAACTCCGAGGTCAGCCCAGCCAAAGTTTGCCCCAGGTCGTAACCACCACAAGTTGTCACGGCCCTTGTGGATCAGAGGGGATTTGCGAGCAAGCAACTAGTTTCATACCAGGACGGTGGTAGATCCTGACATTGGTTTACTCTTAGCTAGGTTTCCTGATGGAAATACCGGATTCCTCAGCGTGAGAGGTCCTGCTGGTGGAATGAATGAATCCGCCTGCTGTTCATCGAGCTCGACACCCAGGAACCTCGCTGCTATGACGAGGGGTAAACCGTTGGGAAACCTTGACTTTGATATATCAGAAATATTTCCGAAATTCGGTGCATTAAACGTCAGCTACTGTTCACAATAAAGTTATAAGGATGAACTATCAAGTGAACAGTGGATAGATTTCGAGAAAGAATGATTTTCTACATGCATGGCCGATTCTTCTCCAACCTTGATATTTTACACTTATACTTCGGAAGAAGAAATTCCCATGAAAGTTAAACAGCGAAGATAAATCACAAAGATAAATTGCATAACTATCCAGTAAGAATGAGATGAAGGAGAAAATGTAGGACTCAAGCAATATCATACAATAGACGTTGGTAAGACGTTTGGCTATGCAAGAATCTCCAAAATCACGTGAAAACTCCTAAAATATGGGCTGAGTGTTCAAGATACAATGCATTGTTCAAATGACAAACAGAAGATGGACGTTTTGTGTTGAAGAAAGAACCGCAACAAAAACAACTACGTATCTCAGTAGCGTATCTCAGAGTTTACTTCTTTCCAATACTCGGAACATCCAACACGTTCAACTGACATAGAGAGAAATACAATGTACTCAAATAATAAATTTGTCGTACGACACCATCTAGGACTCACTTTATCCCTAACATTTTCATGAGATCAGCCATGACAAGGCCAATAACATCATGTCAGTTTTATGCGGATAATGGAAACGCAAACGAGCACATTACAAAATTGTGGTCATTTAGATTTTGCAGGAAAATGTACTCGGAAGAATTCTTTGAGATTGAAAACAACGTAAATACTCAACAATATTACTTACATAGAAACTTTGACAACTCGTCCTTTAGTGTCGTCCGCACTCTTCACTTCTTGCACTTGTAGTATCACGTTATCCGTGAAGTTTGATAACCTTATGGATTACAAGGGTATTTCCTCCTTTGCAATTTGGGGACCCTCCGTCACTGCAGCGATTCCTGCGATAAGCCACCAGGATATCAACGATAAAGCAGAACACCAATTGCCAACATCTTTTCTTATTTGACATATCGCCTGTCTCTCAATTATTCCTATCATTTTATCATCATTTTATCTATCATAAAATTATCATTCTGATGGTGACGTATGATTAAACTATCTTTCTCCAAGAATATCGTACATGCGTCAATTTTTTTCCATATTTGCAAAACCACTGAAGAACTTGCTCAAATCCTCTTCGAGGAACCTCCACCGGCGTTTGCGAAGTGTCTTCAGTGAAATGTACAGTTCAGCAAGAACGGCAAGAATAAACCTGGTTCTAGGCGAAGTTCAATCCTGGGGTGGCAAGCCCACTTGGTTCCATTTTCGCCCATGTTTGTGGTGTTGCAACAATGCCACAATATTATGGGCTTCCGAGGACACCAGAAAAAATTTGGCCAAACTAACATCGTCATAGCAAAGTGGAAAATATACGAGTTCCGTGTAAGCTTCCGGAAAGATGGGTCATTCAAGAAATTGACGAATCAAAATTAAATGTAAACAATGAATATTACAAAAGAGCGCACAATACCGAGCATTAGGATTTGTCTGCAGAAAACATTTTATGACTACCATAAGTTAACGAGAGAGATTCAACACCAGTCAGAAAGTTCTTTCTAGAAAATAACAAAACAAAACAGTTTTTAAACGTCCCATCACCATACACAAATGAGAACGATGGCAAGTATACATGATGGATACAAAGGTATCTTGGCTCTAAACTGACTCATCATTCACTCATACCTTCCGGAGGAGTCCCAGTGTCTTTTGGAGTGCAAGCTTCACCGCCACATCTAAACAACAGATATTGCCTATCTCTTAATAATAAGATATTTAAAATTATGAGATTTGACCGAAATTTTAACTTGCCTTGAGCATAATCCCCTTTCTTCGTAACGTAAAATTGACATTGCTTCGTCATAGATTTTTGAGTCGGGGAATTCTACCTGAAACGACGCGGTCACTGTCGAAGAGTTTCGTGTATGTCAATTAGAAGGTCACCTTGAAATAAAGGTTCATTTTTCAACGAAATTATCGCTTTTTATCATAGCTTGGAGAATTAGAATAAATCAGGAAATCTAAACTTAAAGAACCTTTCGTGTAGCGGTTGTGATGCTTCTTTAAAGAGATATTTGAGCTCGTCTTTGAGAACACTGATGTTCGTCAACACATTCGTGACTACGCCTAATTTCTAGCGGGTTCATTTTTGGTACTATTCCAAACGTAGATTTCTTAACACTTTATTCAGCAACTGTCCCTTTGGTGGGGCCAAACTGGTGTGTAGTCTTTTGTAACCGCAGAAACAGGTCTGAAACCATGGCAATATCCTTCTCACATGGTTGGCAGACTAGTCCCAGGATTAGCTGCCATTTTGGAAAGCGAAAACAGTGAAATGCTCTTCAGTCTAAAAGACCGATGACTGCACGTGATGATTTATTGACGTCAGCGCAGCTATTTCTATCTCAGAGATATTCAACTTGCACGCGAACCCTCTACACACGAATCCTATTATATCAGTGGATCCTAAACAATGACAAAAAATCGAAAACAGTGAAAAATCCACAATAACCAGAGAATTTGTGAAGAAGAGCCATGCAAACATCTAAGGAACGAAGCGAGAATATAGCTCTTCTTGGCGCATGTCTAGAACCAACATCTGCGGTTGCAAACGAATCTAATGAAGACAACAATGGTAAAGAAGAGAAGGAAACTTTTAGCTGTAAAACAAAAGCAGAAGATACGACGAGATATATTACTCGCGTGGCCTCTTTTCTTCCGTTTGGTTGTGAACGGGTCAATCTACTTTCATTCATCTAATCTTTGAAGCGATTTTATAAAATATTAGGTCGTACCGCGCACGAAAGATCTAGACCTGATAATTTATACATTTCCAATTTATGAAAATTGCAGATATGTTTAAACCCAGTTTCCAGTTTTGAAATTAATTTTCCAAGAAAAAATCGCATTCTAGTGATTGGATCAAGGTTTAGCCACTGTGAAAATATACAAAATTTCATTCCACACCTTTGTTTGCTTCTTGTCTGTTGCGTACACAATAGAAGTACAACACACTTCAGCCCTCTTTGCACCTTTACCAAAGAATTTCCACTGGCATACCTCAGATGATTCAGAACCAACATCTGGAAGACTGGTATTTTTTTAAATACGTAAGCAAACATTGACAATAAACACCCATTTTGAATGCGTCTGAAACAGAAATAGGCATGTACACTGCACATTAAAATCCAACTTGCAACCTTTTACAAATAGTATACGATCGTGGAATTTTACAGCTAAACGGTCGAACAGCTCCAAATTCTTCATAATGTTGTCATCAGATTGGGCAGTGTACGAGTATTTGTTGTTGTGACGATTTATCAGGAGTTTAATGGCCGGCTGAAAATAAAAGCTACGAGGCTTTGATTAATAAAGTGAGAAGCATAAACTTAACTATTAAACTATAAATAATATCCATCTTTATAACCTATCCTAGTTCTTCATATTCTTGGCTGTAATGATCTAATCGAAGGACGAGCCCAACAATGACACTCAGAAAGATAAGAAATACAGTACGACTTTAGCCACTAAAAGGAAGTGTACAGTAGGGAATGTAGCAGCGAAATTTTGGAAGGTCTCAAGCTAACACTGAGTGACTGATGATTCTGTGATCAATATTCTTCTCAAAGACACACTCATTCTTATACGCTTAAAAACTATGGAAAAGAAACCCAGAAATTTTCAGGACATTAAAGAGAAAACAGTTGAATATTGCTGGTTTCTAGCTCTCGATTTATAAGAGGAAGAAAACGAGATTTTAGCATCAGATAACCGAATAAACCAACCTTGACCGAGTTCAGTACAAGACGATCGGCTTCCGCCTTCGTATTTACAACTGGAATACTACATGTCGCTGTTGGCTCGCGAACATCACGTCGCGCACGCAATGCATCCAACCACGACTGACATTCAGAAGCCAAACCCTACAATATTGGATAATAACGCCATTCAGCACAACAAAATGCATATGTAACTTTTACCTACTGTCCATACTTTTTTCACGGCAGGGTACTATGTGAAACCCAACCACAATGATTCTGAGATGTTTGCAGAACTGGGACCCCAGCCCAGACAGAACCGCGATTACGTTTTCCAATGGCTTACGTGTTACACACAGCACACTGAGGACTTCACTTTGCCTTCCTCTCAGCCAGTCTTCCTAGTATAGGATGCATTGATATAGTTCAGCTCTACATCCCAAGCACTTTAGATCTTCATATCTTTTCCAGAGTTCCCATACCGCTAATAAAAATTAATGATAAACAATAATAATAACAACAATAATAATAATGCTGGTTATAATAATAATAATAATGCCAATTGCCTCTAGTCCTAACCTTTGTCCATTATGAAAAAGCGTTTGACAGTGTCGAAACGAATGCAATCCTATCAGCGCTCGTCGACCAAGGAGTGGACCCGTCCTGCATAAGAACTCTGTCCGACTATTATCGGAACTGCACTACGAAAATACAGCTTTTCCATCGACCTCTTACCATACCTATAGGAAAAGGAGTTCGAAAAGGCCACACATTACCGCCAAAGCGGTTAATGCCGCACTGCAATGGATAATGAAGTCATTCGATTGAGATGAGAAAGGCATATGTATTGATGGAAAATTCCTATCAAACCTTCGTTTTGCCAACGACATTATCGCCTTCTCAAAAAGCACTAAAGAATCAGAGGTGATGATCAACGAGCACAATGAAGCGGGAAAAAAGATCGTACTTCTCATAAACCGAAAGAAGACCCAGTTCATGAAAAAATCACGGTGCGAAGGCGAAAAAATTGAATTGGATGGCTCTCTCATTGCAAAGACCACCTCGTACGTTTACCTTGGGCGATCAATGAACATGGAAAACAACATGAAGCAGGAACTAGATAGAAGAAGGAGAGCGGCTTGGACCGCATTTGGACCTCTCAAAGAAGCCACCGACCAAGTGAAGGACCCGGAAATCCGCGCTCATCTCTTCGATTATACGATCGACCCAACGCTCTATTATGCTGCAGAGACGTTGGTTGATAACTCAACCGCGTCAAGAATGCTCCGCACCACTCACAGAGCGCTTAAGCGATGTCTTCTGAAATATAACCGGCACTCTAAATATCTAGTCGGAACGCGAAGCTCTGACCTTCGAAATCTGTCGCATCTTCGAGAACCAGGAGAACATTCATCGACAGCGAAACATAAATGGACCGGTCACATAATGAGAAGAACAGACGACAGATGGACGAAAAGAACAGTAGAGTAGACACCAAGAGAAGACAAACGTTCCCTTGGATGACCACCTACATGTCGGGCGGACGTATGACACTAAATAATATTAATAAATAAATAATAGCAGTGATTAACAATAATAATAATAATAATAAATAGTATTTGATGAGCTTACACGAGGTTGATAATGATGTTTATTTTCGGCTAACGTTTCAACGTCTTCGTTTTCCTCAGAGCCGATGATCCGAGTCGATGGTCCTCGCTTGTTATTCGCCTCGACGTTGCGTCTTCGCCTTCGTGTCGAGCCAGATCTTCCTCAGTGAGCCATCTCCTCGAATGAGGCATCTTTACTCAGTGATGCCCTTTTATACACGATGCTGATGGTCGATATAATGATGTCTGGTGATAACAACTTGTTTTTCTTCCGGACATAATCATCCCGCACATCGTGCAGAAGTCGGTGTTCTTATCAGCTAGCACAAAGCGTAGTAACATTTCGAAACCGACTTTCCTTGTACCTCAGTATCACTAATCAATATGTATTCGTTCTTTGATGAGCTTACACGAGGTTGATAATGATGATAATGATTTCGAAATATAAATAATATTGTCCTTTCCAGGGAGTAACGCGTTTACCACCACACCATGCTGGCCCTTGGTTTCGCCTGTCTCAAAGAGCGCTCGTTTCCCACCGCGGACACCTGAGGACCGGAGTTTTGCAAACATCTCAACAAATTAGATTTCGCAATATACCCTGCCATTAAAAAAAGAGTACGCAGTAAATAAAAAGGTTAAGAAGAATAATAGTAACAATAATAATAATAATCTTAACCCTTTATAGATCGATAGAAATAGCTGAGAGACGTGCGAAACAAAGGACCCGCATGGTGTGGTGGTGAACGCGTTACTCCTCGGAAAGGATAATAGCGCGTTCGTTCCCCACCATAGACACCTGCGGTCCAGAGTTTTGCAAATATCTCAGCAACGTTGTGAGTACGCAGTAAATAAAAAGGTTAAGAAGAATAATAGTAACAATAATAATAATAATCTTAACCCTTTATAGATCGATAGAAATAGCTGAGAGACGTGCGAAACAAAGGACCCGCATGGTGTGGTGGTGAACGCGTTACTCCTCGGAAAGGATAATAGCGCGTTCGTTCCCCACCATAGACACCTGCGGTCCAGAGTTTTGCAAATATCTCAGCAACGTTGTGGTTGTATTTCGCTTAGTAACCTGCCATGAAAATTATAGAAGGCAGAAAAGAAAACGTTAAACTTAACCTTCGCAAAAGTCAGCTTCAATTAAACAAAGCAAAATCGTTTACGGAAGCGCGAGCACTAAAAATGTGGTCGATAACGTGCCTGAAATGTCAAG